TTGAACTCAAAATCTTTTTTTTTTTTATATTAATACATCTCGATGTTGAGATGATCAATTAGAGGTTTTTTCAACATTAAAACAACCTTTTTTGATGGATTTTTGAGGGGCATATGCAATTCTACATTTTAAAGTTGCAACCTTATATAAACTTTTTCTATAAGAAATATATAACATTATATTACATAGTGAAACTATTGGCAGTTCTTATCAATATATAATGGGTGTGAGTTTTATAAGATTGCAACCTTAAACAATCCAATGCAAACACACCTCCAAATTTTATCATAACATATAATTTTGGAGTAAAATATTCTTAGGATTATCTGAAAAAATCTATTTTCATATCTAATTATAAAATTTTAAACTTCAAAAATAGTTAAAGTCAAGTACATCTATAAACATATGAAAAGATTAAAAATGACTTACAACACATTATTTATGCAACTGAATCTTTTTTTTTTTTCATATTCATTAATCTAGATGTCAAGATGATCAATTAGAGGGGTTTTCAACATTAAAATAACCTGTTATGATGGATTTTTGAAGCGCATATGTAATTCTACATTTTAAGTTTGCAACCTTATATAAACTTTTGCCATATATAATATATAATATTAAATATTATGCAAAATTTGAGAATCCAATAAATGGAAAAAATAAATTTAAACTACATGTGCTCTCGAAAAGTAGGACTTAAACCACATAAGACGATAGTTATAAATATCTATAATAAAGTATGCTTTTATGCAAATCTCCCTAAATAGTAACTTGAATCATTCATTTTACCAAGTTTACAATGAACTAATAATTTAAATCATTTTACTAAAATTATAATGGATCAAAGCAGGGTTGTAACTGGATGTAAAGCATGGTTCTTAATAGTATTCTAGCATATAAAATGGTTGTAATTTACAAAAAAAAAATAAAAAATAAAAAATAAAAAACAAAAAAAAAAACGTCGATGCAAAGCATAAAATAAAAGCATACTAATCTATAAAAACTGTAATCATGTCATTCATTCAGTCTTTCCATTATATTTAGTTTTCTAATTGCATATTGTAGTTAGTTTAGATCATAATGGACTCTCCAATTGCACATTGTAGTTAGTCTACATGCTGAAAAATTGAATTTTAGGCTTATGTAATGAAGCTACTCTATTTTATTAATGGAGAAACTGATTTGTACCTCTGTTTTTCCGAACAAGGAAAACAGGGGTTGAGAAGCACAATCACTATTAGCCATTTGATTCGATGAATAGGCTACTTTCTGTGAGCATGTTCGGTTCTTTAACCTTAGGAATTTATTTTGCCATAAATAAGTTTTAATGAGCACTAAGAGAGGTAATAATTATAACGGTAATTTTAATGAGCAGTGAAGTAATAACTATATATTTTTGGTATGTAGATGTAATTTATACGAGTGTGGTTTCTTTAAAGTTGCAACCTTAAACAATCCAATTAAAGTGCACCTCCAAATTTTTTCTCTAATTTTGGTTTAAAAAATTATTAAGGTTATCTGAAAATCTATTTTCATATCTAATTATAAAAAATTAAACTTAAAAAATGGTTAAAGCTAAATAGATCTATAAATATATAAAAATCTTGAAAATGGACGGTCTAGACAAAGTATTGTAAGACGTACTATTTTTGGGACTCAATATATATATATATATATATACCATATTCATACTTCTTGAAGTCGATCAATTAGATTGTTTTTCAACATTAAAACAATATATTTCAATGAATTTTTGAAGTGCATTTTTATTTTTACATTTTAAGGTTGCAACCTTATATAAACTTTTTCCAATTTATAAACGACATAGATACACGCAACTAATAATTATATATATATTTTTTAAGTAAATGTAATTTATAATGATATGGATATATGCATAATGCTATCCAATTACCTATTTAGTCTCCTCCGATCCCCTAATTTAATACAAACTGAATTTTACACTTATCGATTCCAATTAGTCTCCTCCAATCCCGTAATTTAATTGATTCAATTTTTTTTTACTATATGATGAACTATTTTCATCTCGAAACTAATATATATTACCAGGTTAGATGTAGGATTCACTACATATTCATGAGAGCCATTGCAAATGCATGTAAGTGCCACAAGCCTTAAAATATAACTACCTGAATGTCATTAATATGTCATGACATTGAAGAACCACAAGAAAGAAAAAATGAAAGAAAGAAAAGGGCATAATTTCATGACAATATGCCAATATCTAAAAAAAATTTAGCAAACTGAAATGTCATTTGTATGCAAAGCATGCTTTCAAATTTTGAAACTTCAAAAAATATTCATAGCTGGTCAATGGGAGGAGATTCTGCAGCCAGACAATTTTTTAATAATCCACCCAATACTTCCATTAAATATGAAGAAACCTTTACATGTGGGGCTGCTTACTTATAAAACATATGTGACTGTGATTCCTAAACAAGTAGTCTAAATATATGGATGTCTTCAGTCATAATGTCATGTCTAATGTCTTAATGTCTAGCACTGTTTTACTTTTAAATTTTTTATATTAATTATCTTCTAATAAAATTTAAGGTAGAATATTAACAACAAATATTTCATACAACAAAATTTAAAATTCTTAAAATTTTGAAAATATGGATTATTTTGATTTAATTACAATATTAATTATTTTATGACTTAAAAGTTGTAATAAATAATTATGGTATTGAAACTCAGAAAATTGAGAATAATAAATTTTAAAGGCATACAATATCCTTAAAACCAGACATTTAAATTAAAAAATAGGAAACTAAGAAATGTTAAAATATAAAAATTTTAGTGTGAAAGCTTTTCATGTGACCCCAGCCACATATGTTATATATGTGACCTTGATCTCAACCGTCGGATTTGAGTAAATAGTTGAGATGACTTGAGTCATAATGTCACAAGCTGGCTCTTGAGCATCAAACCTTAATATGATGACTCAAATTATTTTATTTTTTATTTTTATTCTATAAATCATTTTGCAACAAAACTTGGGGCATGCATATATATGAGAGAGGCACTAGTGATAAAATACTAATAAAAAATATTTATTGTGATGAAAATTACTAGAATACTTGTAAAACTTTTGGAGGGAATTTAATTATTTTCATATATATATATATATATATATAAATTTTTGCTAGGTGCTCCTAATGAAGTACATGGGATGTCCCAAATTTCAGCCAAAAAAGTCAAAAAAGTTTTATCGAAAACAAGTTAAAAATCTAACAATATTTTGTTATGGCATTGTGACAGAAGCAATCCTAGCCATCAATTCTGATCGAATGGCTACGAAATAGGGTAACATATCATTTATATGTGGTTGGTCACATAAAAAGCATTTCCAACTTTAATTTTGTCAATAAATAATCAAATATTACAATTTAAATCTAAATAAAAATTTATGGAAAATGGCTATATGCCATCACCTAAGCTATTAGTACCATTAGCTTTAGCTAATAGCTCTGTAGAGCATACGTTTTAGGGCCCTTAAGTTTGTATTAAAAATTTAGAACACAACACTTTAAAATACCCTATTATTATTAATTTATCTTCTCTTTAATACCATCCTATATTTTCTTTCATTCCACAACTTTTCTTTGAAACTCCCTTCTCGCTGTAATTTCTTGGGTCATATGGCTTTATTTTCAATCTTCTCTTTCATATTTATCTTACCAAATTAGAAAATGTAGGTCCTCTTAAAATTTGTGCATGCATAAGATTCCGCTTCTTTCTATCTCTTCTGGAACCATATGCGGATATTTTTTATTATTATTTAGGAAGTGGATTGTAAGATTTGCCCTAAACTCTATGATATCTTTCTTACTTTTTTTCACACCATAGAGTCCTTTCTTATTCTTGCGATATCTATCTATCTTTGAACTGTTGCTTGATAATGCAGAATAGATATATATAGAAACATTTAATAAAATAAATAGGAAAAACTGAGTTCGGGAACATGTTAATGTAACTGTGGAGGATGATAAGCTGAATTTTTATGGGGATCTCGTGGCCCCGATTCTCAAGAACTATTCATCCGCCCAGTTGATGGTTTCCTACCCCATGAGAGGCTTGCAATGGGCCAAGTAGATCTACTCATAAAAAATGTCACTTTCGAGGAGTTTAAAAGAAACCATATGGGATATGAAAAGGAGAATGCTTCTCGCAAAAATGGTTTCAACGTTGAGTTTTTCATATTGGGTTGGGACATTATTCAAAGGACTTGTTTTTTTTTTTTGGCCATATCATACTTCTTTTAAAAAAAGGAAATTTCTCAAGGAGATTGAGGTCGTGACCATCAAATCGGCTCAGTTCTCTTCCGAAACACTTATATCCTATTGGTCTATGTAATATCCTTTATAAAATAATTAGTAAACTTATTGCCAATATGTTGAAGAAAGTACTGAATTCTCTCATTCACTCTAGTTAAGTTGTTTTTCTATCATGTTCTTATGACCTATAAATTATTTCATTGGGCAATTAGAACGGGACATGGTGTGGAAAGCTTTTTTTTAAAAGGTGAGGTTTGTATAAGGTTGACTAAATAATAATGCATGCTTCAAAATGATGCTGAAAGATGTTGTTTCCATGATGAAAATACGTGTGATAGTCTAAATTCTATATTCATCTTTAATTATGAAAATTAAAGTTCCAAAAACAGCATAGAAAAGTTTCAAAAACAGCATAGAAAAGTTTCAAAAACAGCATAGATCTAGCAGATCTATGAACATTTCAAAATTTTGAAAATGGACGATTCATATAATGCATAACAAGATGCCCTATTTCTAGGACTTGAAATCTATTTTTTTTATCTAGCATACACAGTGTGTGATTGATCCTTGAGCAGAAGACGTTCCATCTCAAAAATTTAGGGGCCTAAAAAAAGTGCTTCTACATTATCGAGAAAATGAATTGTACTCCAAATTCAATGAACAAGGATAAAACTTACAAATAATTTCATTATGAAATCAAACCATTGCTAGTGATCTGCAACAAAATTCAACCACCACCATGAAGTAGAAATAACACCTGAAAAGGAAACCCTTATATCTCCTACATAAAGCTGGGAGTTGAAAAGGAAAGCCTTATATCTCCTCATAAAGCTGGAGCTTGAGCAGAATTACAAATAATTTCATTATGAAATCAAACCATTGCTAGTGATCTGCAACAAAATTCAACCACCACCATGAAGTAGAAATAACACCTGAAAAGGAAACCCTTATATCTCCTCATAAAGCTGGGAGTTGAAAAGGAAAGCCTTATATCTCCTCATAAAGCTGGAGCTTGAGCAGAACTCCAATCCCTATGAAATCCATGATCCCCACTTAAACCCAGTTTACAGCAAATTACAAACCAAGTCTTACTCCAAACGAGATTCACACACATAACTATCCCCCACCCCAAAAATAAATAAATAAAGAAAAATAAAATAAATAACTCTAGGAGTTGCTCAAGCTGGTGATGATAGGAACAATAACAAAGAAGATGAGAGCAAGGAGCAGAGTCAACCCAAAACACATCCACCTCCTACTGCTCCTCTGGTATTCCTTTGCAGCCTTGAGGTTCTTGGTGCCATCCTTGACATAGGTCGCCGCATTCATAACATGGTGCTCGATGTCGTCCATCTTCTCACCCTGAGCCTCCACCATAACAGCCATGTCCAGAAACACCTGATGAAGCTCCAGCAAGCTCCTCTCTATCTCCTTCGCGGCATCATGCCTGTCCTGTATCTCATTTACGGTCTCTAATATCTTACCTCTCCCCTGTTCTGCAATGGCTTTTTGCAAGAAGCTCTCACTCTGTCCACTCGATATGATATTCTCTATCATCTCTTCGCTCGCATAGTCCCCTGTTACAGTAAAATATCTTCTCTCTACTGTCTCTTTGTACTCTACCATTATCTTTTGCCTGAGAGCCTGAAAATCCATCATCAACTCTTTCAGTTTCTTTCTTAGGCCATTTGTCACTGAGCTCCTTGTCCTGTCAAGTGGGGTACCCTCTTTGAATCCTGAGAGTCTCCTGTTTGCCAAGTTCTGCCTATCCAGCTCTTCGAGCATGATTTTGATGGTTTTTGCCTTCTTTAGAATATTGACAACATCGCTGTTGATCCTATTTCTGAGAGATTTGAGGGCTTCTGGTTTGTGGATTCTCTTTGTTTCTTCGTTGGATTCCTTCAACTTCTCCAGGAGAAGCTCGATGGCCTCCATCTCATCCTTGATGGCTCCAACTTCTTTGAAGAAGGGGATTAGGTTTTGATCTGTGCTGCTGAATTGAGCTTCCATTTCAAGATCAGGACCGGCTTCCAGGTCTTTGAGGGCCTCTTTCTTGAGGTCCACATAGCTAGTGAACGATTTGGTCATCAAATCATTCATTTTGTCGCCTTTATTTTCTTTTTGTAGCAGGGTCTGTTATTCCAAAATCCAACAAAACAGGCTCAAATTTCAATGCCAAGTATTTGAACTTCAAAAAAGCTATTCATACTCTTAAAATAAGATGTTGGAACAAATGAAAAATGGAAAAGTAAAGAGTTAGAAAGAAAAAATAACAGATAAAAAAAAAATTAAGAAGATGAACCAACAATCCAGAGTTCAAACATTTTACCTAGAGAGTGTTATGTGGCGTGCAGAGAGAGAGATGCTCGATTGAATTTCTTGATTTCAATATTTTCTTGTTGGAGCAGGGTCTGTTTTTCTAATCCAAGAAAATAGGTTCAAATTTCAATTTCAAGTATTAGAATTTCATGCTGAAATGAAGGATGGAAAAAAAAGCAATTCATACTCTTGAAGAAGTTATTGAAACAAATGTAAAATGGAAAAGTAAAGAGTTCGAAAAAAAACAGATGAAAAGAAAGGGAAGAAGATGAACCAATCCGGAGATGAAGCATTTTACCTGGATATTTTCTGTGGTCGTGCAGCGAGAGAGAGATGCTTATTTGCCAGGAGAAAGAGAGATGCTTGATCGCCAGGCCAAAAAGATCGGGTTCTTATACATAGAGCCGTTGAAGATGTTCTTTTTAAATTATGAGATGTAGCCGTTGCACCGGCCCAGTTTCAAACGTGGGGCGATGGGAAAAGTTTATAGGGAGCCGAGGCTCTAAACAATCAAATTAGAGCCTACCCAAATATTTTCAAATTGATCATCTCGACATCAGTATGCATGGACATGAGAAAAAAATGGATTTCAAGTTTTGAAAATAGTGTATTTTGTAATACATTTTTGGACCGTCAATTTTCAAGATTTTCAAGTTTTCATAGATCGGTCAATCTACTTTATAAAATAAAATAAAAATATATTCTAAGGCTATCACAAAAATTTTCAATATTAAAACCATATTTCTCGACACTATTGAAGGTAGGCTCTAATTTGATTGTTTAGACCATAGGCTCTATGCAAACCGCACCCTAGACATTGTTGATACTTGGATAGTAAACAACCATGATAACAATAATAATGTGAAACTGTCACATTCGGTCCCAAATAGAGCCTCGGCTCTATACAAACCCCACCCTTTGTTTATTCACTTTTTAGATTATATTTATAATATTTAAATTATGAATAGGAAAATAGATAATGTACAATTTACATATGGTTACTCAAATATGTGTGCACAAACTCTGTCAAGCACACATAAGGAATTTTCGGCTTCCTATTTTTTAGTTTCTGTCTCCTAAAATCTTGAAAATTTTTTTATGCATCCCTAAATAACTAAAGAAAATATACACAATGGGATAGTTTACTTTTGAATCATCATCGACTATTAGATTTGAAATTAGGTGGTTAAGGGTGTATCATTGTTTAGATACAAAGTCTAAAACAAAAATTCTCGAATATTGTGGCACGATTTCATCTATTCGATTTCACATTTAATAGCTAAAACTCGTTGTGACCTCTTTGTATAAAAAAATAAAAAGTACTATAATATACAATCCCATAACTAAAATGTGAAGTTTTAAATATAGAATATTGAGTTTCCTATTCTCTAGTTTCTACCTCCTAAGATTTTGAGGAATGTTTTGCTTCACTCTAAAAATATGTGCGTGCAAGTCCTCTATCCTATTTTTAGTTGAAGCCTCCTTAATATCCAGGATAAAGAAAAGATATTACTAACACAGTGCTCACTCCTCTTTTTTTATATCATAATTTCATATGTCTTCTGGGGTGACAGTATTTGTATTAATTGTTATGACTGTCTACTCTTTAATTGTGACTTAATAATTTAGTATAGATATAAATTTTTTATATTGTTCATGTACGGCCCATTTTAGGTTAATCATCCTAGGAACCTTTTCGATCTAAGTGACTAGGGCTAGCCAGCCTACGTTGCCGACTTTTGCATCATAAGTAGTGTTTTAAAACCTAGCAATCTGGATTGGGAATGGCCGATATGGACCAAGTTGGTTTTAAAAAGGTAATGGCCTGGCACAATATTTTTGCAAAAGCCCCTTTTTCTAGTATTTTTTTAGATCCTCACTAAATCTCCCCCTATAAATCCTTATTTTCTATTTTTTATTTGTTTATTTTAATATTTTTAAGATCTCCAATTTAAAACGGCCCAAATCAATGACTTGCAATTAGACATGGATGTATGGGGTGGAATATCCACGGAACGATAAGGGTTTTGAAACATGGATCACAACTAAAAAGAACAAGAAATGTTGCAAATATAATGCGATTAATAAGTGGCATTTTGAATAACCAATTAAAAAGGTAAAAATATGAGTTAGTGAGGTTCAAATTTAGACAAATGACTTATCCCCCGTATTATTACTAGGAAAATTGTTTTATTCGGCATAGATCGCATTTCTACAATATCCAATCTGGCATCCATTTTAAAGATGGATGCAAATAGGTGGCTCATCTAAAAACAGTTGAAACTAACGATCCAATGTTTCTTTGTAAAATCATTATTTTTATTTCTTAAAATTTATTTATTTATTTATATTTATAATCTCCATGTTGAAGATTACATGTCCTCAAAAAATTGGGTCAAAAATAGATTTTTAAGAGTCGACTCATTTCTACATTGACTCATAGAAACCGTGCCCTTATTACTATAATTACAAAATCTTCCCTAATTTTTGTATATTAGGTACGTACCCCTTTTGTCATTGGATTTTCTATTATAGTTTCATCTTAGCCTTAGAGATTAAAAAATTGACATCATCTCGGCAGTTGATGGCTTTGGTTTTTCAATATCCATAGTCATCTTGTTTTCCTTGAAATATTTTTTAAAAAAATTTGAAGTCATCCGAGACTTTGGATTTTCAAACTCCAAGGGTAAAATTGAAAAAATCAAAAAGGTAAAGTGGACATGCACATAATATAAAAAAATAAAAAATATTTTCGTAATTAGGGTATTTACATGGGATATATGGTGAAATTTATCTTGAATTTACTGTACGTCTTCTTAAAACCAAGTGGCAAGAAAAGGGTGAAGCATAATCATTTGCGATATGGCCTTGTCCTCACATTGTTGGTAGATATGCAACATTGACATCAAACCGAAAATATTCTTGGTAAGTATTTCGTACAGCTAAGATCAGATAAAGTAAAGTAAAAGGGGGCGACTCTGTAGAAATGATACACAGTTACACACATTTAGAATGCGGGCAAGCTATCCTAGTCCTTGGATCCTATTCCTTCTCGAACGGGAACTATCATTTCAATTCAAAGAAAACAATGCAAAAAAGATGAAGAAACAAGGGCTGGGCCGCACCGGACCTGTCTTGGCTTGGCCCAGGTGCCCTTAGGTTACATGTTGTTGCCTAGGCCCTAGTATTTTAGGATCGGGTTGACCAGGCTACGCGGCCCATTACCACCCCAGTGGCTCCACTGTAGCAATGATGGTATGTCGTATTGAGCAAACTAGATTGGCCAAAATTGGTGATTGAATCTAGCTTTTGAAAAAAAAAAAATGAAGAAAAATTGCAGAGATTGTCTTCCTCATCTATAACACTTTTGTGTGACGATTTAAATAATCCAACATATTGTAGAAGTGATATAATGGGTTTCATAGAGTATAGTTTTAAGTTTCTGACGTGCAATTCTCGAAAGGAATAGGTCCAATGACGTATTGAATCCCATTTGGATGTTGTCCATTTACTCCCTCAAGTAAAATCCAACCTAGAAATAATTTTAGGTTCCCAGATTTTGGGGATATAACTTCTTTAACATATAGATTAACCACAAAAAAAAAAAAAAATCTTAATTACACCTTCTAAGCTGGAAAAATAGGGAAAATATCTCTGTATCCCTTATTTTTGGCTTCCATTTCTCAAAAGACCCAAGGATTTAAGCTATTTCTTATGGCATAAAGTCTCTATCTTTTCTATTTTCCTATCCCCTAGACCTATTTGACTATACATTATTGACCTAAACATTTTGTAAAATCACTCCATCTCTATCTCTCTCAAAACTCTGTATCTCTCTCCTCTCCTCTCTCTCTCTCTCTCTCTGAAAACTACATGCTTTTATTTGGGTTTTGTGGTGAGAATTCAGAGAAAGAAAATGAAGCGTTTGAAGTTCTCCTGTCATTGACGACCTCATTGTTATCCAGTCGTTGCTTTCCCACCTCTCGTGGTTGAAACCTCTGAAACTTGTTAGGGTTTTGATCCTCCGCTTTGGTTCTGAAGCTCTGTGACTTTTTAGGGTGTCAATTGTTTGTTCTTCATCAAAGTCACTGCAACTTGTTAGGATTTTATTTCTCTCATGTTCGTCAAAGGCACATCAACTTGTCAGGGTTTCAGTCCACTGCTTTTCGTCAAGGCCTCAGCAAATTGAGAAGGTTTTAATCCCCTGATTTGAGTTGAGAATGATAGAATCATGCTTAAGGTCGTTCGAAAAATCAAAATTTGATGATTTGCTGAAGACAATCCTTGGCGAAAAAAGGGTTTGGTTGGAGGATGTAAAGCCAAAAAGGTGTGGTGAAGCAATTGAGAAGCCGTCGACCAACCTTTGTGATGGCGCTCGCCTGAAACACTTATAAAAAATCAAAGCCAGAATCTGAAATTCCACTGATTTTTTTCTGTAATTCTAACACATTCCCTATGGCCATCTCCATGAGACCATATATGAGACGTTGTGACCTGTTCCCTCCTTTTAAAAATTTCAGGCGCCATCCACCTCAACGTTGGCTTATGGATGTTGCAGAGAAAGAGAGAAAAAAAAATAGTCGGTCAGGAGAGAGAGACTGGATTGAATTGGAAGGAAGGTTTAGTGCTGGTTAGTTTTGTATTAAAAAGATTAAACATAGAGAAAGAGAGAATGAGAGGTGAGAGATGGAGTTTTAGAGAGAGAGAGAGAGAGAGAGAGAGAGGGGAAAGATACAAGGTTTTGAGAGATATATAGATGGAGTCATGTTATAAAATGTTTAGATCATTAATGTATGGTCAAAGGGGTCTAGAGGGTAAGAAGATAGAAAACATAGAGACTTTATGCCGCAAGAAATAATTTCAATTTTTGGGTCTCTTGAAAAATGGAAGCTAAAAATAGGGGGTACGAAGATATTTTCCCAAAAAAATAATGTCTCAAGATTGAATGGAAGCCATCCTAATTTTAGAGGGCGAGATATATTAAAAATTCAATATTTTTTTTTAAGAAGAATCATCTAGTGTTTCTAAGGTGGTTATCAAAATTTCAAATTAAAAAAAAGGTGTGGTTTCTATAAGGCTAAGGCCCTAACAATTAAAGTGAGGCACACCCTCAAATAGTATCAAAAGACGTTGTTTTAGTACTAAAAATCTTTGAGATGGACTTAAAATTTAGAGAAAATTATGTAGAAATTCGTTATATTTTGCGTTATTACAGTTACACCAAATAGTTTTCGTTATTACAAAAATATTTGTTTTTTATCTTCTATATTTTTTTAAAAGAGACAAGTTTGCTCCTTTTTCGATGTTCAACATCCGAATTTCTAAAATTTTTGGATGTTGAACATCCGAAAATAGCTGCAGCTCCAACAGTGTATTTTCCCATTT